CAGGAAACACCGAGGGCACCTACTCTCATATATGGGGCTTAAAATTTCTACCAAGTCCACACTTTGGAAGCCTTCGGCACGACAACCAACATCAAAGGTTCCTGTTCTAACAAAGAGGCCAAATTTGTCTAAGTCCACATTTGGGAAACCTCTGACACTACACTCCGCACTGAGCATCCCCGGTGTCCCACAAAATCGACTAAGTCCACATTCCTAAAGCCTTCGGTCATACTACAAGCATCGAGGGCTACTATCCTATAAGTGAATCAGAGATATACTAACTCCACATTTCCGCAGAAGGCTACCGGTTGTAGACTCAGTGAAATTTTTTCCAAGTCAGCACTGGGGCCACCTACCCAATCATCGACTGACGCCTCCACCACCGAGGCCAGCCACCTCTTCTACTCCTCGGCTTTCTGCCCCTCAGCAGTGAAGGTGGCAACATCATCCTCCCGAGCTTGGGCGACAGCCTCTCCCTTGGCCGCTTCGGCTTCCTCCGCAGCTTTCTTGGTTGCCTCGACAACAGCCTTTTCGGCTTCGGCCATACCCTCGACCCCAGCCTCTTCCCTAGCGGCCTTCAACTTCTGCTCCACCCCCTCGGTGGTTTGCTGGAGTGTTTCCTCCAATCTTGCCATCTCCCTCACGGCGGTGGCATTGTCAATGACGAGCTTCTTCAAAGTCTCGTCTTATTCCGCCTTCTCAAGGCGCAATTGCTCCACCCTCTGAAGGTGCTCACCGAGGCCGATGCAAGCCTATAAGTAGACAAGCAAATGATAAGAGTTAGACTACTATGCAAAGTACGCTAAGGCGAAATGACCGAGAAAATAAATAGAATGGGAATCTTACGGTTAGAGAGGCGCAATGATGGCAGTCCCCTTTATAATGGAGAACTGCACATTCTCCCGGGGCAAAGCCCCCTCACCCATCTGTTCCGCGGGGGGCTTGGAAGGGTTCGCCGCCGTCATAACCGGGGGCTCAGAAGAGGAATGCTCCTCAATAACCACAACAGGGGTGGCCTTCTTCCCGGCATCCCCCTTCTTCTCCTTCTTTCCGGCGGGGGCTACAGCCTTGCCCGCCGCCTTCCTCTTCGCAGCCGCGGCCTGGGAGCCTTCGGCCTCGATATCAGCAGGAACTACCAACGAGGGCTCCCCATCTTTCTTGAAGAACTCATCGACGGGTTTTTGGGTCCCCACCTCCTTCTTCTATGGCTCCTTGGCCAGTTTCTTCTTCAGGCTGGCAAAGGACTTCACATCCATATTGGCACCTGCAAGACAACACAAACATTAAGGGCGAGGGGTCAAGACAACAACAAAATTGAATGTGCAAAAAATAATCTAAGTACAAAATACTAGAGCCTTCGAGAATCACCTCCGGTGCTCTCAAACCCACGATCAAGGAGGGAATATTTCTCGTCCCTCTCCCCCAAAAAACGGTAGCGCCGAAAGACAAGGCTATACATATCCTCCGAGAAGGTCGAGTCCTTGATCATCGCCAGCTTAGTGGACCCCTTCAAGAAAGCATATATCTTCTTCCCATCTCTCTCGAGGGCAGCACTCTCCACCTTCGGATGACGCCTGAAGTGGTTCCGCAACTCCCATGGGAATGGATCCCCCGCCATCCTGATATAGCAGAACCGGTCCTTCCAGCCTTTGTGGGACGAAGGCACATCAGAAAACATCCTCCACTGAGGACTCTGCTGCAGATTGGCAAAGCCCTCGGCGTTGGTATGACCCCCTCGGCAGAGGTTGAAGCTTTGAAAGAAGAGGTCAAAGCTAGGAGTTACCCCCCGAGACCGGGAAAGGTGTAAGGAGTCGGTGATGTACGAATGGCTGTTCGGAGTGAGCTGGCAGGGGGGCAAACCTACATACCTGAGGTACTCGAGGAGGAAGGGATGCAGTGGAAACCGGAGGCCCAGCGAGACAGATAGCACATGGACGACGAAACACCCCTCGGGAGCATGGGATAGCACATCGCTAGGACCCAGCTCTACCACTGTCGCTGAGGGACCAACATGAAGCTGGGTTACATAGCACTCTACCCGATCGGCCTTCGACTTCACCGCGAAGGCGGCGGTGTTCAAGAACGAATGCCCCTCGGGTATCCCAACGGGTTTCCCATGATCTGCTGCATTCTGCTTCTTCCTGGGAGCTACTTTCACCTCCTCCTCCTCCTCCTCCTCCCCCTCCTCCCCCCCTCCTTCTCCTCCTCCCCCTCCTTCTTCTCCTTCTTCTCCTTCTTCTCCTTCTTCTTCTCCTCCTCCTCCTCCTCCTTCTTCTTCTTCTTCTTCTTCTTCTTCTTCTTCTCCTTCTTCTTCTTCTCCTTCTCCTTCTTCTTCTGCTCCTTCTCCTTCTCCTTCTTCTCCTTCTCCTTCTCCTTCTCCTTCTCCTTCTCCTTCTCCTTCTCCTTCTCCTTCTCCTTCTCCTTCTCCTTCTGCTCCTTCTCCTTCTCCTTCTCCTCCTTCTCCTTCTCCTCCTCCTCCTCCTTCCCCTCCTTCTTCTTCTTCTTCTTCTTCAAGGGTGCAGCCCAAAGGGGATCAGGGTTAAGGGGTCTTGATGTTCCTGCCTCGCTGGCAATGGCCGAAGGGATAGCAATAGTTACCCGAAGACGTTCTTTCTCCTCCTCCTCTGCAGTTTGCACGGCAAGGGCGAGCTCCTCATCTTCCACAACTTGCTCAAACTCCTCGGCCTCAGCTTCGGCCATAAGGCGCTTCTGCACCTCCTGTGCTATAGCAAAGTCATTGTTGGACGAGGCCTCTACACTCGCTGACATCTCATCCGATCATGTCTCGGACTGGACCGAAGGCTCCCTGGAAATGTCTTGGGAATCACTAGCAGACGACATCCTTCAAAACTATTGAAGAAGGGAGTTGGATAAAGGAAGAAGGGTTCTAAGGTCACTAACACTAAATCTAAGGAGGCGGAGCAGATTATGAAAAAAGTACCAATAACGTAGGAAGAACTGACCTCGAAAGTAAGGGTTTGATCGAACAAAGGGCTTTCTCTCTCTAGAAATTTTGGCATAGCTTCGCTTCAACAAAAATCGCACAAGGAGAAGAGATCCGGCCTTGGGGTATTTATATCCCCCGAACTGTGGTTAAGGCCCGAGTTTAGGCCTCGGGTTAAAAGCCCATCATTATGAACTGTCGCCTCAACCAACCAACGACACCCGCCCGAAGCAAACCAACCAGAACACGCCACGTGGACGCCTTCTCCAACGGTTATATCCCAACGACTATTTTTGAAACACTGGAATGCCCTCAGCTGGTACCCTTCAAACAACAACAAAGCAAGCCCTCGGGTTATCAACATTCAAAAACCCTCCTTCAAGATTTAACCCTCAGTATGCAGGTTGGGGAAACCTTCGGCGTGCCCTCAGCCCTCAATGCATGGAGACCTGGGGGATTCCCCTCGGCAATCACTGCCCTCACCTCTCGGGGCTACTTTCCATAGATCACGGATGGCCCTCGGCCTCAGCGGTACCCTTCATCTAAGACCGAAGGGTTCACCTCTTTACTTCGTTTTGGGGGCATCCGATGTACTCTTTTTCCCTCATTAGGATTTTTCCCACAAGGTTTTTCCTAATGAGGTTTTTAACGAGGCATCTCCCCAAAAGGAAGCAAAAGGGCATCAGCCCTCGGCTCTCTATTGAAGACAGGCATTACTCTACTCCTTTTCACCCCATTACATGTGCCTCAAGGAGTGGGGGACTGGAGAACCCCTCCGAGAAATCACAAAAAGTTAAAAGTTTCCTCAAGGCATCAACAAAAGCCTCCAGAAGTGAGGAACTAACAGCTTCGCTCGGCAGCACCAGACTGCAAATAACCAATGAAAGGAAACTCTCGCAACAAGGATGCCTTCGACAGAACAACCACAATTACTCCTTTTCCCTCAATTACCTTTCAGCAAAAGGAGTGAGGAACTCTTAATGGAGTATATGGCCCAGAGACCCTGGCCCACAGACTCATGCTTCTCCTACACGGGCCCATCAAGCCCAATGAGCACACAAAGCCCAAACGTAGCGACCCAGGCATGAAGAAGCCCACGATGCACATTTGGGTGCCTTCGGCTCTGTGACCGAAGGCTCCAAATTCTATAAGACAACTTGATATCGGACCTACAAAGCTTCTGGGACTTTCTGGCTAGAATATTAGCCTTCAGCTATTCTGTGCCCTCGACAGTATGTAGCCTTCGGCTGTACAAATGCCTTCGGCTATATGATGCCCTCAGCATAGAGCATACTCGACGAAGATTCCTTTTAGAGACAGGCAACCACCGCATTAAATGCGGCGTCACGTCCAGCCACCACATTAAATGCGGTGCATGTGAGATTACCGGTGCCACCCCGATTGAGGTGACCCTCGGCCGTCAGATGTTTGACACGTGTCCCCGCCTAGCATTTATGGCTACTATAAATAGCAACCGTTTTTCCTTGTAAACACACAACTTTCTATATTGAATACATACTCTCTCTCTCTTACTTGCTCTGATCTCTCTCTAGGTTATTCCCCGCAATAACCCCTCAGATAAGCTACCCCCGGGTACACTATCCATCAATACATATTCCTACAAGAATTTCTTGACCGGAACGTCGTCTGGCCAACTCCATTTGAGGTGCTTCTGCGTAGACTTTCTCGATGAGATTTTTTGAATATGTCCTACATGAAGTGTAAATTATATACACCAAATTTTAGTTATTCAATCGAAAATTGAGTTATATAACATATTGAAAAACATTGTGTTTTATATATATGTATATTGACGTAATGTTTTTCAATAATTTATTTAACTGACTTCCAGATTGAATTTTAAGAATAACAAGCTCACAAAATTTATAAAAAAATTCCACCGAGAATCACCTCAAATGAAGATTACTCATGCAATGTGTAAGAAGATCGGTTTAAACTTAGGAACCGGAACCAAACTGTAACCGAAGCGTAAAACAGAAGTCCAAAATTATAAGAACCGAAACAAACCGGTACCGAACGTTTTCCCAGTTTTATGGTTCCAAGTGTGGGCGTACTATGAGTGAAACTAAAATAAAAAGAAATAGATTCAAACATATCCCGTTGTACCGGTAACGGCTGTGAGATGCGTGCGAACTGCCAAACCTGAACCTTTGAATAAACTGCCGGATTTTTTTGGAACAATTGAATAAACTGCCGGATTTTTTTGGAACAATTGAATAAACTGCCGGATTTTGCCTTATTTTTGACTAATAGACGTGAGACGAAAATCATTCTCGTACGAATCATTTTTCAGGGTTATACCCGGGATGGCGTCGGCGATTGTGAGATCCGGCATCCGCTCCGCCCTACGCGGTGGTGTATCTCCCAGAACCCAGGGTTTCAAGCGTAGCTTCGCTTCCTCTGCCCATCTTGACGAGGCCGGTCAGTGTTGACATTCGTTTTTCGTATCTGTTGATTTCATTTTATGCTCCACTGTTCTTTCCTATCCTTTCGCTGCATACTCAATTAGTATATACTCGTTTTGATTCCAATCTATGTTATCGATGGATTCGATGCCACGACCATATCTTTGATTCTTTGTAGATTTCGGGCTTTTCTTATTCTTAATATCCCTACATTTGAGATGAATAATGGTTTTTGGATCCGGGATCTCTTGTTTTTTCTTCTTGATTTTTCTGGCTTCGGATGTGAGGTTGTTAAATTGTGGGTTGTAGATGTTTTTGAGGTTGTTAATTTTTTTGTAATGTTTTGTGCACAGCCGAAGCTTCAAAGTGGGAGAAAATTACTTATGCAGGAATAGTTGCATGTAGTATACTTGCAGTTGTTACTCTCTCAAAGGGTCATCCACACCACTATGAGCCTCCTGTAAGATGTCTACTATATCTCTACCCTCCCGGATCTTAATTATCTCAATCCAATTTGTTGTCTGTGTTGGTTAATGACTGGGGATATCTTTAAACTCAAGTATTTGTGCCAAGAGTAGAGCTTAAGTGTATGTTTTGCAAGTCATCTAAAGGAAAATTAAATGTTGCATTTTGATTCAATACGAAAAAGGGTAGGTTAAAGGATTGTGTACTTGAGTTAAACGAATGGGTAGGTTAAACGAATGGGTACGCAAATTAAAGTTTTGCTATCTCATTCTATCAAGGCCTTTTACCTTTTTATGTGGACTTGAGTTATATATATTGTCATTTATATATATATATATATTTTGGGTCATTAACCTTCTTTCATGTGTATTCTTTTGTTTTTTTTCTATTAAGGAATGGTTAGTTTTTCTTAAATTTACTCCTAAGTTATTTAGTAATGGTTATAGTAGGAAGATGCTGAGGTAAAATTGGTAATTTTACCACTCTTTGAACCATAATCTAAACATAGTACGAAGTAATCTATTTAAAACCATCTTTATGTCATTCGAAATATAAGAAGTTCTAAAAGTAAATGAGTGTAAATCTATGCTGCACCCATTGTTGTCATTTTTTGAAGCATATCTATTCATTTTAGCTAGTAGTTCATCTTCATCTTTCTTTCATCTTTAGTTATTGCATTCTTGACTTTTACCTAAATTATAATACCTCCGCCCACAATTAAATTCACAATTTGACTTTTTGAGTCAAACTTTATAAACTTTGACCATTAATTATTCAAAATTGTATTACTTTGTCACACAAAATTAATTTCCATATACTTCATTGCAATATATATTATTTAAATGATGTTTTATTAAAGATTTTATAAGTGTAGTTTTTTAGTTATTTAGGGTCAAACTTCCACCGTTCCACCTAGAAGTCCTTAAACGTCAAACTGTGGATTTAATAATGGGACAGAGGGAGTTTAGGTATTTGTATATGTGGTTCAATAGACAAATGAATGTATGTTTATAAGTTATATTTAGAGCGCGTTTGGTAGTTTGCACATTAAAACTTTACAAGCAAAATGATTGCATGTAAAGTTTAGGGCGGTGATTAGTTTGCATGAAAATAGAAATACATTGTTTGGCAATGTATGTAATTTATTTTTAAATTACACACAAACTTTTTACATTGTTTATTTAAAAAAATAATTTACATACTCCGAATAAAAGATTTACAAAAGGATTACATAACTGAGCAAAGTAAAGTGGGTGTCAACTGCTAGGAGAGAGAACGTGAAACCTTTTAATATACTGGTTTGAACTACTAAAATAAAATTGTAAAACTTTATTTTTAACAATTTGAAAAAGATTAGATCAAATTCAATGTTCTACTTGATCATATACGGAGTGTTTATATGCGTATACTATGTATGATGTGATACTTGCATGAGATGATGAGAATATGGGATAAAGCCCATCCCTCTTTCATTGTCAAATAAGTGCACCGCATATGAAGAAGAGTGCAGAGCAGTGCATATGAAGAACATATTTGGTTTGCCGCCACACTCGATTGAGTCTTCACAATCTAGGCTGAAATCAACTACATATATATTTATTCTGCGTACAAGGATGTAAACTAGTTTACTACCTCTCCCCCAGGTAAAATATTTTACGTGGTGCAGTGTAAAATGTTTTAAAAAATTGTCCTACAGTTTACGTTTAATAATTAAAACAAACGGTGTCAAATGTTTACATCCTCACACTTTACATGCAAAGCGTTTACTTTACATCATAACAAACAGGCCCTTACATTACAGTATTACACATTGCATTAAATTAGATTTCATTGTCTTACTGAACGACATCTATGTGTATATGGTATATCTAGATTACACAGTCATATAATGAGATCATACTATGTATGTTCTTATATTCTGATTAGACCTGCATTTCCTGATATTTTGCTGCCACTGCAGGCATATTCATACATGCACATTCGCAACAAGGAGTTTCCATGGGGTAAATTTTTCCTTCTAAATCCGAAGTTGTTTAATTGCGCTTATCAGTTACCATTTAGTTCCAAAGTTTACCTGAGGTGCATCTTTAGACATAGATGTTAGAGTCAAGGGAAGTCAACCTCTTGATAATAATAATAGTATTAGCTATTATGATAAAGTGTATTCCAGAAGAAAAGGGAATAAGAAGTAGTTAGCTATTATGTTTAGGGGGGTCGGGTGGACTTCTATAAATAGCTAGCTAAGGGATGAATAAGGCAGGCTGTAATTTGGTAGTTGGCTGGGACTGGAGAGTTGACATCTCTTTAACTGTCAGGCACTTTCTCTCTCTATTCTGTTACTTGAATAACAAGCTGTTCATTTTCATCTTCGTTTCTCTTGGATACTTAACATTGGTATCAGAGCATCGACCTGGTAATCTGTACATGGTCGTTACGAGAGGATCAACAAGAACAACAATGGAAGTTAGACTGGAAAATTTGGAACGTGAGCTGGAACGTAGTCGTCTGGACATGATGCGAGAGTTGGAGAAGACTCGCATGGATGTGATGCGCGATCGCGACCGCGAAGACATGCGCGAAGAGGCTCAGTGAACTCGCGATGAGTTGCGCGACTTATTCTTACAGCGAGGAGATTCGCGCGGAAGATCCAAAACAACGAAGCGAGGTAAGAGACATGATAGCGATGATTCATCTTCGTCTTCCTCAGGTAAGCATCAATCTTCTTCGCGAGGGGATGATTACAGTAAATTGATGGAAAAGTCCGGAAGGAAAGTGGATTTACCACTCTTTAACGGACATGATGCTTATGGATGGATAGTTAAGGCTGAACATTTCCTTAAAATGAACCATATAGAGGAAGAGGACAAAGTAGAATATATTACCTTGGCAATGGAAGGAAAGGCTCTGAACTGGTTTCAGTGGTGGGAGGAACACACTGAGATGAGAAACTGGGAATCGTTCAAGTCAGCCTTGACTCGCAGGTTTCAACCAGGATTGATACATGATCCTTATGGCCCCTTATTGAGTGTAATACAAACTGGCAGTGTGATGGAGTATAGGGAACAATTTGAACTGATGGTGGCACCCTTGAAACAGACTGATTTGAAAATACTCAAGGGAATCTTCATGAAGGGTTTGAAAGATGAAATCAAAGTTGAACTGAAATTATATCCAGTCAGAACTCTTGCAGAATTGATGGATAGGGCTCTGCTTGTTGAACAGAGGAACCAAACTCTCAGATATGCCAAAAACAAGGAAGAAGATAGAAGAGGAATGAAGGAAAAAGGGTATATGGTATCACAAAATCACAAATGGGTGGATGAAAATAAATGGAAGAGCAGTATGAATAACCAGTCCAGCCAAGGAAAACCTGCAGCAGAAAAGAAAATGGAGACAGAAAATAAAGAGCCAGGAATAAGGAATACACACAGAAGATCTCAAGCAGAGCTACAAGAATTGAGCAGAAAAGGTCTATGTTTCAAATGTGGTGAAAGATGGGGCAGAGATCACAGCTGTAAGATGAAACACTTTCAGATCATCATGTTGGATGAATCTGAAGAGGAGGAAGATGTATTGGATAATACTGCTACAAAACATGCTTCACAGTTAGAAGAGAAAGATCTGAATAATATGCAGCTATCACTCATGAGTAAAGAAGGGATAACCACTCCTAAGACTTTTAAATTGAAGGGAAAGTTAAGGAGTCACACTGGAATTAAGACTATCATAATTCTGATTGATTGTGGGGCCACACACAATTTTATATCTCACAAGTTAGTACAAGCAGCAAGGTTACCTGTTCTCCAGATTCCAGAATTCAAGGTGGAGATAGGGAATGGAGACATAATCAGAAACAATGGGAGGTGTGAAGCTGTCTCTCTTAACATTCAACAGATTGACATTACTCAAGCCTTCTATGTATTAGAATTGGGAGAAACAGAGATGGTTTTGGGACTGGAATGGTTAGCAAGTTTGGGAACTGTTGAATTCAACTTCAATCAATTAACTATCAAATGGAAGGAGAAGGATAATGTAAGGCAGCTTCAGGGAGATACCACTCTCAGCAGAAATCAAGCCTCTTTCAAATCTATCATTAAGAATATGCAAGAGCAGAAAGAAGGATATTGTTTGTTCAGCCATGCAGTTACAGAAAGCAAAGGGGAGGAAGGAGAGGAAAATTTATGGATGCAAGCAGTGATGACACAGTTTGCTGAGGTATTCCAACCCCAAATTGGTTTACCTCCCAAAAGGGACTGTGATCATGCCATTACTATAAAAGAAGGTGAAAATCCTCCAAACATCAGGCCCTATAGATACCCTCAATACCAGAAGAATGAGATAGAAAAGGTTGTGCAGGAGTTGTTGAAAACAGGCATTATCAGGCCTAGTACCAGTCCCTACAGTAGTCCAGTATTAATGGTGAAGAAGAAAGATGGGGGATGGCGTTTTTGTGGTGATTACAGAGCCCTAAATAGAATTACAGTCCCTGACAAGTTCCCTATTCCAATGATAGAAGAACTTTTGGATGAACTGGGAGGAGCACAGTTGTTTTCCAAACTGGATTTGAAATCTGGTTACCATCAAATCAGGGTGAAAGAAGAAGATATTCACAAGACAGCTATTAGAACACATGAAGGTCACTATGAATACATAGTTATGCCTTTTGGTCTCACCAATGCTCCTTCTACATTTCAAGCATTGATGAATAAGGTGTTGAGACCTTATCTAAGGAAGTTTGTGTTGGTTTTCTTTGATGACATCTTAATCTACAGCAAATCAGAGGAGGAACACATTGAGCATGTCAAGAAAGTAATGCAAATATTGAAAGATAATCAGTTGGTGGTCAATCAAAAGAAATGTGAATTTGGACAGAAAAAGTTGGCTTACTTAGGCCATATTATATCTGGAATGGGTGTGGAGGCAGATCCCAGTAAGGTGCAGGATATGTTAGACTGGGAGAAACCTAAGAATGCTAAAGGCTTGAGGGGATTCTTGGGCCTAACAGGTTACTACAGGAGATTTGTTAAAGGGTATGGTAAGATTGTAGCACCCCTCAACAACCTACTGAAAAAGGATGGATTTCAGTGGACACAAGAAGCAATGGATGCCTTTGAAGAACTGAAACAAGCTATGACCAGGTTACCAGTTCTACAAATCCCAGATTTCAACAAAACCTTTGTTATAGAAGCAGATGCTTCTGGAAAAGGAGTGGGAGCAGTATTAATGCAGGAAGGGAGGCCTGTATCTTACATGAGCAAAACTTTGTCAACCAGAAATCAGAATAAATCAGTTTATGAGAGAGAACTGATGGCAATTGTTTTGGCAATACAGAAATGGAGATCTTATTTGTTGGGAAGAAAACTTGAGGTGCACACAGACCAAAAGAGTTTAAGGTTTCTCACAGAGCAAAGATTATTGGGGGAGGATCAGCAAAAGTGGGTTACTAAACTTCTGGGGTTCAATTTTGTCATTAAATACAAACCGGGAAGGGAAAACAAAGTTGCAGATGCCCTTTCTAGAAAAGGAGGATTTTATTCCCTATCAATCATAACTTGTCAGGAGTGGGAGGACTTGGGAAAGGAGCTATTGGATAGATTGACAGCTGAAAGGAATGATATGCTAGATGAACTGAAGGAAAATCTGGCTACTGCACAAAACAGAATGAAGCAACAAGCTGATAAGAAGAGAAGGGAGGTCCAACTGTCTGTAGGGGAGAGGGTATATCTGAAGATTCAACCCTACAAATTAAAAACTCTAGCAAGAAGAAGTAATCAGAAGTTGAGCCCTAGATTTTATGGGCCTTTTGAGATTATTGAGAAAATAAATCCTGTGGCTTACAAGCTGAAGTTGCCTGAAGATTGTAGAGTGCATCCTGTGTTCCATGTTTCTCTCCTTAAGAAGACTGTGTCTAATACTGCACAAACACAACCTTTACCAAAGTGCCTCTCGGAAGAATGGGAATTACAGGTCTGTCCAGAAGAAGTAAGGGAAAGCAGAATTAACTCAGTTGGAAAAGTGGAAGTTTTGGTGCACTGGAAGAATATGTCAGAGTTTGAGGATTCTTGGGAGGAGCTGCAACAGTTTCAGAAGCAATTTCCTGATTTCCACCGTGGGGACAAGGTGGTAGTTCCAGGGGGGAGTGATGTTAGAGTCAAGGGAAGTCAACCTCTTGATAATAATAATAGTATTAGCTATTATGATAAAGTGTATTCCAGAAGAAAAGGGAATAAGAAGTAGTTAGCTATTATGTTTAGGGGGGTCGGGTGGACTTCTATAAATAGCTAGCTAAGGGATGAATAAGGCAGGCTGTAATTTGGTAGTTGGCTGGGACTGGAGAGTTGACATCTCTTTAACTGTCAGGCACTTTCTCTCTATTCTGTTACTTGAATAACAATCTGTTCATTTTCATCTTCGTTTCTCTTGGATACTTAACAGTTCTATGTACTTGGAAGTTATTCACATTGTGGGTGTGCATGACTGCAGTTTATAATTTAATGCTCTAAGAGCACTTGGGTTAGGGGTACAGGAGCATAGGCAGTGGGGCAAATCCAAAAAAAGAATAGGCGGTCAAGGCAGGAAAGTTTAGGGTATGTTCTGGAGTTTAGTTGGGGGGGGGGGGGGGTATTGGGGGCCTCAGGTTGTTTTTTCATATTTTTAGTAATTAAGAGAATCATATATGGCGTATTGTCATAAATAAAAGTCAGGGCATTGAATTTATGCTAATTTAAATCAACATCGAAAGTAAACCCACCACTCACTTTCCCTCAAAAACCAAACTCCCAATGAGATTACCAAAATTGCTTGTAAGATTATCTAAGTAATAGGATTATCTAGGGAATGTGAGATAACAAGAATGTAAAATTACATGGTGGGTTTGGTTGAAATAGTAAAAATGTAGTATTAATATTTTAAAAATAAAAAAGGAATGCATGATTGTAGGTTAGTAGAATATGACCATAGTAATTTTACATTACCTAAGAAACTCAAGGTAAACAAATTAACACCAATATTACCTCAGTTTATCCAACATCACCTTTCTAACATTCCTAAGAGAACCTGAGATAACTTGAAATGAACACTCCCTTGGTGTCTTGGATGCTAACCTGAGGCAAACATGTTGTTACTATGCCAGAGATGTGGTGAAATGTTATCCCGCACTCATAACTAGTGACTAATTTAGTTTGTTTATCCTTTTCAAGATTGTATTGATCTTGGGATTATTTTTTGTACATGCAGGTCCAGATGGCCTTTTTGAGGCGAAGCACCATTGATTGTTGCCCCCATCATTCTGAAGACAAGGAATAATTTGTTTGGAAATTGCTTTCAAGATTTCGTTGAATCTCGTGCAGTATTTGCAGCTCAAGTTTTTGTTTTCCTGGTTTTTAGGTCACTTAACGTTGGGAAACTTTCACATAAGAGGTTGGAATGTAATTTTTCCAGCAACTTCAAATTTCAGAACTATACTTCAAGCAAAATACTGAAGAAAAATTCTGACTTTATTTGGTCATTTGGCTCAACTTTTTTTATACTTTTCCTTTTAAATGGTTGAAATGATCGTAAAAAATAAATATTTAGTAAGAAACACACCCCATTCCGAATCTATCATGGTCATAACTAATACGAAGTACTACATCAGTGTGAATAATTCCATGCAAATGTTGCAATGAAATGAAAGCATGATTAAAATATAACTCGAAACTGATAAAAATACTGCAACCCTTACTATTTTTAAACAACGATCTAATTATTCCTAATTCTAAAAGAAAATTTCACGAATATTACTTTTGGAAAAGTGGTGGATAAAAATGTGATTTAGTAGTTTTCAGTGACTATAATTGTGTTCAAAATTACTATAGTATACTACTATGTATTATGATATAAACTTTGAATACAATTATAGTCATTAAAAGTTACTATGTGACATTTTTGTTCATGATTATTTTATTACTCCCTCCGTCCCGTTAACAATGGGACAAGAGGGAGTGACATACAAATCAATAAAAAGTTATTTATGTGGTTGATATTGAATTGATAAAGTAAGAATAAAGTAAGAATGATTTAGAGTCACACAAACTTTGCCAAATTTGGTATGTGACAATTTTAGTGGGACGACCCGATAAGGTAAAACAGAACAATCATAGCAGGATGGAGGTAGTACAATAGTTTTGGAAAAACCTTGTAATTAAAATCACTCCAACCCATTCTCTATCTGATGCAAAATTGGTATAAAAATCAAAACCTTTGCCGGTGGCATTGAAATGAATGTCGGTCTTATTGGCCATGGCATACTAAAGGTGATATATTTGGTCATATTTTTCCAATGAGATTTATGTTATTAAAAGTAATATTTAAGGAAAAATTATACATAAATAGTTCAAACTCTAGGTTGTTCAAAAATAAAAAATAACAAAGCCATCTAACTTAAACACTAAGAGCATCAACAATGCATTCATGTCTAAATATGCCACATCATTATATCAGACTTGGACTAACTAGTTGCTTCCAATGTTTGTAGTCCGTAAGACAAATTGGCTAACATGACATGACAAAAAAATTAAACGGTGTCAGGTGATGGCTGCGTGGAGAATTACATAGACTTGCTCACTCAAACCAAAAGCCCCCCCCCCCCTCCCCGAAAAAACCCAAAGGGAAACGACAATTACATTGACAATGGAATAACATGAATTGTCTCTGATCTTCTTTAGGAATCCCTCAAGTTATAAAGACACTGTTTTTACTGTTTGGACACTGTTTTGCACTGTTTTGATGTAGATAATTTGCCAAATACGGAAAGTAAGGAAGTGTGAACTTAATTTAAGGACTGCTCAAAAAGGAAAGTGGTAACTTAATTGCGGGACAGAGGGAGTATATGTGTGTTGTGTGTCTACATGAAATAACATGAATACATACATGTATATTATATACATACATATATGCGTGTGTATGGAAAAAATTCTTATAGATTTTAATCAAATCCCGTTTCCTGCGCTTAACTTTGTAAATAAATGTTGCAATGAGCAACACAAGCAGTAATGAAAACAATATGCAGTAACGCAATTTGTTTCCAGCTGCAAAAGCCACAAAACTAAATGAACTCTGAATGTTACATGCCTAAAAACTTTGAAAGAATAACACAATCAATAAATCTTCAGCAGCATTTTGCTATGTTCTCCAGTATGTAATGTGGCAACTGCTTCCAAATTGTTACTGCCATCTTTACATCTTAGTGTGAACTGAATTGATCACTCAACTCTGGTTGACTGATCCAGTGGGGCATCATCAGTAATTCCATTCGTGGCAATTTCATTAGAGGGGTCCACGGATGCAGAATCTGAAACAGATTTCCCATTGGTTGATGGAACACTCTCATCCAGAACATCTTTTTTTTCAGTTTCTACTTCAGGGACAGCTTCATCCTCAAGACCAGCATTATGGGTGGGTTCATTTTCAGCTTGAGTCAGATCGTTGGTCGAGTTTTCTTCTTGCTCCCCTTCATTCTTATTCCCTTCAATTAGTGATGAATTTCTCAATTTGTTCCCTTCTTCGCCTGCTTCTTCATTTTGACCTTGAATTTCTAGAACCTCATCCGAGTGTGAACCAGATTCTGTGATTGTGCTCTCTTTACCTTCCTTCCCATTTTCAATCTCTTGCCTCTCTTTTCCTTCGCTTTCCACATATTTTCTCTCGTTATTTCCCTCTCCTTGAGCTTCCTTAGTTTCATCCCCAATAACACTTTTTTCCTCTACCTTAGAATCATTCTCGCCAGCTACACCTTTACTTGTTTCATCACTTGCATTCTCTTTGATGTCAATATTATTATTATTTCCCTCTACCTGAACATCCTTGTTTTCATCTGTCTTGTCAATATTTGTATCTACATTAGAACCCTTCTCTTCGCTTTCATTTTTACTAGTGTCCTCATTAGCATTCTCATTGCTCCCTGATTCGTCTTCTTTGCTATCACTAGTCTCCTCTACCTTTACTTCCTTCTCTTCATTTCCATTTTTACTAGTTTCCTCCGTAGCATTCTCTTTGCTCACCGACTCATCCTCTTTCCCATCATTAAACTCCTCTACTTTTACTTCCTTCTCTTCACCACCATTTTCACTTGTTTCCTCATTTCCATTCTCTTTGATGTCATTATTGTGAGTATTGTTTTCGTCTTCCCTAACATCCTTCTTCTCATCTGTGCTGTCACTATTTGTATCTACCAAGGAATTCTTCTCTTCGCTTGGATTTGTACTAGTTTCCTCATTAGCATTCTCTTTGCTCCGTGATTCGTCTTTTTTGTTATCACTAGTCTCCTCTACCTTGACTTCCTTTTGATCACCTTGATTTTCACTTATTTCCTCACTTCCATTGCTCTCCTCCCTGTTTTCTTCAATATTACCATTTTCTTCTACTTTAACTTTGTTCTCTTTACCATCATTTTCAATCGTTTCAATGCTTTCTTTCTCCTTCCCCTCCTCATTCTCACTCCCATTTTCGGTCTTTTCCTTTTCAGCACTCCCCTTTTCCTCATCTACCGTCTCATCCCTATGCTCAATATCTTCTGTTCTTTCTGGGTCGTTCTCGTCATCAAAACTTTTTCCTTCCACTTCATCTTGGGTAGTTACTTCCACTATACGAGGTTGAGGGTCTTTCCTGCCTAACTTGAGATCATCATATCCGGTCTCTACCTTCTCTGAGAGACCTGAGGTTTCTCCATTTGATGGTTTCTTATCACGTGACTGCTGGATTTGGTAAAGCAGCCATATGCAAACACCTATGAGTACACATATTTGAAGAGTGTGTTTCCCTTTGAATCTCTTGTTTGGCTGGTTCCTACGCGGTGAGTGCTTGAACATGACGATTTCTTTAAAATGTTAACAAGATCTGCAAATGTCAAAACTGCCTCCCAATTAACTTCTAAAGGAAGAGATAAATAGTTTGAGAAGGAAAAAAAACGCATTAAGAGAAGCTGCCATATCAAATGTAGCCATTTTTAAAAATAGTGGAACAAAATTCAGAATAACTGAGGAGAAATACATGCAACATTCGCCAGAAGAAAATTGATTTGTTCCTTGTTATCAGTGTTCTAGAAATCTTTAGTCACCAGCCGGGACACATACTTGGGCTTAAACTTACTATGAAGGGGAGCATTCTTATGAGAGCATCTCGGCAAGGTTATCCCAACTCCCAAGTATACTTGGTCCTAAAACCTAGTTGGGGCCTGGGAAGGGTCATCCAAACTATAAGCAGGATGAATTCTAGGAAGAAACTCAAGCAGCTATGAGTCTGTAAGGAAGGAGGATTTGGGGGAGGGGGGATGAATACATTATTACATTACGGGGCTTAATTTATATTTTGATATATTTTTAAAGTTTATAAGAAATAAATGTTTGCGCAATACATGTGATCATTTAACAATTCAATCACCTTCTTATCACTTTTCAAGAAAAACATTCAATTTGTCAAGATATAGACGAAACTCAGCTCAGACTTCCCCTCCAAATCCTCCAAAACACTCCATCCAAAGGTATCCTGAAGGAAATATACCGTCTTGGGGATTTTATACCACAGCTTATTAGACATTGACAAATGATCAAATCTAAAGAAATGGGATCTCAGAGGAAAATATTCTACAAAGATAGAAGTAAAAAAGCTCTCCAAAGATCCATTGACAACTAAAAAACAGTAAGGTGATCAAACATTGATGTTGTCCATGACAGTACAGATCTGAATTTATAAATTCCCACTGCTAGAGAACACCTTGGTCATATTTATCCAAACTTACTTGCAAATAGACATGACCTGTGGTCTAAAACCAGATGAATGAGAATATCAATCAATGTAAAGGCAAATTTATAACAAAGGTCAACCCCAGAAGCTACTGAATCAAATAGATCTGTATCAGTAAACAGCACTAAACACAATAAAAACTCATTATCACCAGATGCACTAATAAGATCAAGGACAAAAATAAAAAGGCAGGGGGGTTAAATCTAAACCTTCAACCGCAAACAGAGATGAGAATATGACCAAGGGAAGCTGGACCTTCCAGTGAAGCAAGTCCTTTGAATCCCTTGGAGATAAATTACAAGTTTTATACAGTTACTATGAACAAATAGCTATTCAACACTTTTGGCATCCCCAATATCAAATGCTGGCAAAATGAACACTTTCAGGGTCTTAATTGAGCATATGTAGTAGATTTCAGAAATCCAAATTGAAGGTAAGACCTTCTCTTCAATCCCAGATTTGATCTAGAGGTGTGCGCCTGCTTGTATAAAGAGAATGAGAGTAATTATAACTGTATACACTGAAAGATAACTTCAACGTTTAATCCCTGCTCTAGTTAATTTTTCTTTAATGAATGAAAAGGGTAAAGTTAATACTGATTTACCTGGCAGTTAAAAAAAAATCTTTATTGGATCGACGCAAGTATGACTGTATGAGGAATGTTAGGAATGGTTTCCTTTCAGCTACTTTTTTAATTCCTCTACTTTTTGTCAACTTTTTAATACAAAGTTACCCGTATATCATTACTTTATTACTCTTTTCGTCCCATTGACTTTTGACAACTTTCCTTTTTTGATTGTCCCAAAAAACTTTATCACTTTTCCATTAAAGTAATTATTTTGTGATTTTGTTTATTTCTCTTTCTTCTGCACAAATTTCATTTACACAATTTTTACTATTCTTATTTCTCACCTAACTTAAGAAGTGCAAAGTCCATTGGGACGAAGGTAGTACCTACTTTACACTCGCTTTCTCTCTTTTACTACACTTTATCTACTTTTGGGGGGCATAATTAGAAAGTAAAAACAAAATTTTCACTTTCTTAAAAACCGTAAAGTCAAACTATGAAGTTCTTTTGGGACTAGAGAGAGTATAAAATGGATAACAAGATGGAATTAGTTGTCTCATTAAACAATTCAAACTTTTGTCAATTTCCGTTTTTTGGATGTCTCACAGACTTTGCCATTTCTCTATAGTAGGTGGTGCAATTTCATGATTCCACTTAATTCTCCCTCCTCTGCACAAACATCAACTATACAGTTTTTACTTATTATATCAAACAAAGTTTTAAGGGATGGAGGGAATGTTGGGTGTGTTTCGAAAAACAAAGAAATAATTAATAAAATTAATTACTACCTCCGTCCCGAAAAGATTTGCCAAATCGACTTTTCTCGATCAATGATGACAAGCTTTGAGCAATGATTTTAGTTATTATATTTGTATATAATTTATAAATTTTATACTTTTATGAAAATATTTCCAATAAGGAATATTTTGATATAATTTTCATATTCTAAATAATTAAGAAAATTGGAGAAATTTTACGGAGCATGTTACATTAATAAGCCCACATAAGGAACAAATCTCATTTAAGCCCACACGGTTATTGCATGACCAAACTTTATTAAGGTTTATTATTATCAGGTTATATTAATAACATGACTGGTGACTAAACATTATACGAATCTTAAAAGTGGTATTTTTCTCATTTTATTCTAATTTATTTTAATTATAATTTTGTTCTTATTTGTTTCTCCTTTTTAATTAGCTAATTTTTGTTCCATCTATTCCTTTTCATGTAAAGAGTATACATCATTTTTTCTTTCTTACTTTTCTCTGATTGTTTTAGTTTCTTATATTTCTTTTCTTCCATAATCTTTTTTCCCATAGACTGTTTCCCGTAATTAATGGAATTAGTGGATTGACTTACTTATAAAAATATGATGATGCATAGAGTTAATTTCACAAATAAGAGCAAAACAAGGAGGAAGTACAAAAGTGGGAGTATACTTGAAGCTTGGACAAGGATACCCTTGTCGGAGTTGGCATCAGCCCTGGAATCCACCAAAAATATTCAGATGTGATCTGTCGAAGCTGTTACCTCTTGCGTGCGATGCCGTTAATTTCGCCTTCGGCCACCGCCGTTAGTATCGCATCCGGCCACTGCCGTTAGTATCGCCTCCGGCTGCCGCCACCAATAAAATCTCAGAATGCATTTGCCAATATTTTGACGCCGCCACCAATAATTGTCGGAGCTCCAATGTCAATGGCCTCTGTCTGTCACCAACGGTTTGACCCGGTTATCAAAGGGAATTATGGGACAATTAATTAATTTGATTAGGTATTAGATGTAAAAAACTAATGTTTAGTCCTATTTAGTAAAATTAGAAATTGACTCTTATTCAAGGAGAAGTATGTTTTAAGGTTAATTAAGGTTAATTACTTAAAAATATTTGATGGTGGAACTAAGATGACAACAAGAAAGAAGAAAAAACACAAAAAAGTACTCCCTCCGTTTCACAATCTTTGACACAATTTGACTTGTCAAGAATTAAGGAAAAAATGTTACTGAGGGGTAAATTTTACCGTAGAGTACACTGTTTGACACTGTTTGAACACTGTTTGGCACTGTTTGAACACTGGTTGGCACTGTTTGACACTGTTTTGCACTGTTTTGGTAAAAATTTGTTTACCAAATAAGGAAATAAGGAAGTGTGTCATTGATTGTGAAACAGCCAAAAAAGGAAGTGTGTCAAAGATTGTGAAACGGATGGAGTAACAAGAAGAAAAAGTGAAGATAGTGAAAATAAAAAGAAAATATAATAAAAACAGAATGAGAAAAATATCTTTTACCAAACGAGAACGATTAAGAAGAGAAGTGCATAAAAGGGATAAGAAATAAAAATATGAGAAGAAGAAGAAGAAAATGACAAAAATATTTGTCCGGAGAGGAAATTTTACAAAAAAGCTCTCCTAATAAAATGAGAAACAGAATCAATAAATACAGAAAAGAAATAAAAATCAAAAGACGAAAAAGGAATAAAAAGTGTCTAGGGATAGTTGCTATAAATAGTCATCAACGGTCGGAGACAACCGAAAATATGAGGTGCGAAGATGAAATTATTCCAAGATTAAACAAAAATGGGATTATTCTGAGAAAAGTGATGAAATGTTGGATTATTATTATTACTATCGATTTTTCCTAAAAAGATTCCTAAAATTTTAAACAAGCTTTTGCAATTTATTTAAAAATTGATTGCTTCAAATAAATGTACCGAAACATTTGAAATTGGTGCCAGGTGGATTACGGGCTCGTTACCAAGCACGTTACGTGCTTCATAAAATTTTCGAGAAAATTATCCCATATAGGACTAAAAAACTTTTAAAATTCTTAATTAGGACTAAGTATGTTTATTTAGGAAATAGGACTGAAACAGTTTGAAAATTCCAAAATAGGTCTGCCATGTTTTTATTCCCAAAATAGGATTAATTACTGTTTGAAAATTCCAAAATAGGACTGCCATGTTTTTATTCCCAAAATAGGATTAATTACTGTCATGTTTTGGCAGTACCAGACTTCAAACATGGCAGTATTTTCTAAACATGACAGTAATTAGTTCTTTTTTGGAAATAAAAAACATGACAGTCCTATTTTGGAATTTTCAAACTGTTTTAGTCCTAATTCGGGAACTTTCCCCTCAAATAATTGCCCAAAAATGACCATTCAATGTAATTTATTAACACATTTTCCAACAGGGAATACTTATCTAACAGTTGACACCAATTCATCATAAAAACTGAAATTAAATTGAAAATATTTAATTTTTCAACTATCTAATGGCTAAGATTAATTCTTAAATGAATAGTAAAAAATGGATCTTTTGATTTAGTTTTGGAAAAATGAAGTTGGTCTGATGAGAATCTTTTTTTTTGAAAGATCTGATGAGAATGTTGACAGACGAACATATAGAAATACTACTCTTCTAAATAGAAATCATATAAGATACCATGGAAACATAGATCTTTTTGTCCCATATTAATTATATATTACGTAATACTCCGTATATATATACTAGTAATATACTGCCTCATTAGAAACATTATCAGGAAAACCCTAGCAGATAAAAATCAGAGCGAAGGGAATCAACATAATGCATATAATACTCCCTCACAATTTAAGCATATAACACATTCCAATCTCGTGTACGAGTTCTTCAATTTTTTTCTAGAGTAGTAATTTTGTAAAGGACTTAATTCATCTGATATGAACTATATATTCCTTCTTTCTCAAGATCATGTGCAACGATTTTGTTGTGCTATATGTTTTGTTCTATCCCATTTCATATACCTATTTTGATCTTAGTTATATATGTTGTGTTGTGCATCTATATCAATTTAATCATATTATAATCACTAGCGTTTGGTCGAGCAAGGCGCGATATCTTATGCCTAATGCTAAAGTAAGAGAGGTCATATTATGTGTGAGATTTTTAATGAGTGTAGGGTATGAAACATTTGTAGCAATAATAGTTTTTTGAAAGTGAATTATCACATATGATGGTACTTCGTATGTGTTATTGGCCACCTTAATATACATGGATATTGAGTCGGTGTTGTGATACAAATCTAAGTGTTTGTTGAATTCCACATGTCCCAAAAACAAAATTTAAATATATTTTGAAAATAATATTGTAAGATTAAAACGATTTTGGCTATACTTGATAAATGGATCAATAATAGGTCAATTTAATTTGGATATCGACTTCTTGTTGACCGACAAGCTTGAGGACTAAATAAATGCTTATAATAACACTAGTGACACAAGATTAATTATACTTCAAAAATGATGTTGTGGAAAAGAAGCATGTAAAACATAATGCACTATGTTTAAGAAATTTTTGATAAGTTAAAACTAAATATAATAGAGATTTATATTGATCGGGTCTTGTACAAGAATGGTAAAGAAAATGACAAGAACTACAAGAAAGATGTCAAGTAAGCGAAATAGAATGAAATTTAGAGTGTTATTCGAGTGAATAGACCACCTTTACAAGTGAGCTCGATACTACTTATAGGAAGGATAATTAATGCCTTTTTGTCCGTTGTTGATGGTTTCGACCGTTATGAGGACATTCAAAATCGTCATGATGTTGTCATTAATGTCGGTCAGCCATTTGAGTAACTCCTACCTTAATTACAATAATGGCTATAATAATACACACAAAACCGTTATAATAATTAGCTAGCATTAAACCTAATAAATGTGTCATTTATTGCCGTGATCAAGCCTCTTGAATGTAGGATAAGCTATCAAATTCCTGCACCAACAATTGCCCCCTTTCGAGAAGTTGAGGCATATCATGCACACGTCGACCTATTAAGCATCAACTTGTCAAAAATTCGAAAGTACACTTCGCATCTTGGTTCATTGCATCTATTGGCTCGTCACTGACGTGACATATTGATCAACTTGTCTGA